CGGCAGACTTTTTTAACTGCTCCGTATATAACTTGGCTCAGTAATACAAGGCTCTTTTATCATAATCAGCTTCATCACTAATTTGAATTTCAATATTAAACCTTTTTCCGGCTTTATTTTTGGCTTTGATATCTAAGATAGATAATTTATCTTGCCAGAAATTTTTGGGATTGTAGGGATTTAATAAAGTAAGTTCTGCAACTTGATCTTTTTCAGAAACAATGGAATTGACAAGCGAAATAAGCAAGTCTTTATTCTCCTCTACTCCAAATAACTTCTTAAAAGCGATATCTACGCGAGGATTAATGTAATTCATAGTTGTTAGTTCTTTTAGTATTGTTTTACTAATTTCAACCATAAGTCTGAAAGTATAGGTTCTAATCACAAGTTTCACAACTTAGTAATTCCCTCCCACCTTAGCCAAAACAAATTTTCTGGTTAAGACGCTTGCTTTTTCCCGGGGACGAACACAAGTGCCCTCCGGATAAACTTGCGAATAAGAGCGGCTAACAGGAAAGCAGCTTCTCAAGCTCTTTTTTCTCGCCTATATTTGCGGTGATAGCCTGGATCGCGATATATTTGCTATGATGACTCTCTTGAGGGTTGCAGACAGATTTGTATCAACATTTATTTCTTGTTCCGCTTCTTTTTTTCTTGGTATCTTTCTCTTCTTTGAGCCTTAATATTTTCTTTCTTTTGTTCGTAACGCAGTTCTTATTAATTGGTATAATTATTTGGCTAACTGGTTAGTTAATTCTTCTAACTTCTCATAATTATCTTCATCACCGAGTCTCTCCATTAAGAATTTCATTTCGTGTTGCAAATTCTCGCAATCATTTGAGGTTAATTCACTAGACTTTTTTTGGGGAATTTTTTTGACTTCTTTCAGACTAGTTTGCAAGCCTTTTATTTCTAACTGGTACCAGTCTAACATTTGAGCGACCAATTTTAGTATTTGTTCTTTAATCTGTTTTTGTTTCATATTTTATATTATAAAGAGTTTATTCTCCCAATTTTAGAGCAAAAAAAATTAGACAAAAATGCTAGCAAATTCTCTTATTAATTCATATCCAGAAATTGGCTAGATATTTTTTTGCCTTTTTTGCGAGAAAAATGATGAGAAATTAGGGAAAGAATACCTCATTAACAGAAGAAGTTCTCTTATTCTCGGGTGTTAAGTTAATTTTAAGAAGAGAGATTTTTATAAAACTAATTCTCTAAAAGAAAAAATGTTTTATAATATTAAAGTAAAATAAAAACGTTATGGTAAATGCTCAGGAATGATTGGATAAGAATTATCCTGATAAGGAAACACACATAATATATCTAAACCAACAATTAGAAGGAATTTTAGATTGTAGTGAGTATAAAGATTTGTGGACAATATTTATTTCTTCCCAAATAGATAGGAGTAAATTTGAGATAAAAAAGGGTTCTTATAATGGTTATAAAGGAAATGAATATGGAAAGCATGAAACCAAAATAATCCCTTGTGTTTCTGCCCAAACTTGATTAGATGAGAATTATCCTAAAGATGGAACTTGTGTAAGAAAGCAAAAAAAATGAAATAGTGAGGAGCAAAAATACGAAGGTGAAGAAGAAAATCACCAAGACTTTGGTAAAACTAGGGAAGTAATGACACATTTGGATATAAGTGCAAAAGGTTTGGAAGGACCCCTAGACCTCTCTGATTTTAGTAATTTAGAGTATTTAGATTGTTCTGATAACTGTCTCACTAAGCTAAATCTAAATAATTGTAGGAAATTAAAGAACATTAAATGCTCTAAGGACCAACTTACTACTCTAACTCTGAGTAATTTAGAAAAGTTGGAGGTATTAAATTGTTATGATAATTACCTCACTCAAATAATCTATCCCTCTAATCCTGAAAAGATAACTTGGTTAGAAATACAAAATAATAATCTTTCTCTTTCTGACCTATCCATTTTTAGTCGGATGAGGAATTTAGAAAGGTTAATAATTGGTAATAGTGATAAAAATAAAATCAGTAAGGGAATATATAACAAAATAGAAGGCTCATTAGGATCTTTAAAGGATTTGAATAAATTAGAGAGATTAATCATTAACAACACTGACATCAAGGCTGGTTGAGAACACTTGCCTGCTAGTTTAAAATACTTTTGATATAACACAAGACTAAGACCCAATTACAAATTAGCCCAAATCTACGAACAGTGAGACCAAGCAATATGAAAAGATATTCATGAGGATTTTGCTCCTAAATATAAAGAAGACTGATTAGCAGCAGGATTTAGTAAAGAACAGACTAGGGAAATCCTTGAAGGTAAAAGTGAATGAAGCCAAATGGTAAATGAACCCAAACCTGAACATGGTGCCTTTATTAATTGATTTCTCAACTTCAAAAAACTAGACCTAACCTGAGCCAAAGAGAATGAAGAAGAATTTAAAGAATGAAGAGATAAATATAAAAACTTTGAAGCCTGTGAAGAATGTCAGCAACCTAATACTAGTCAGTTATGATGTAATTCTTGTAATGTTAAACATTTTCAAGCCGAGTTTAAGAACTGAACTAGTGGCAATAAAGAAATAGATACCTTTATCCAAAGATGCCAATTAGAAGCAACTAGTGCTTGAAATGTTTTAGAATGAATTCCTTACGAACAGTTTGCTAATATCGAACACATAGCTGATGGTGGTTTTGGTCAGGTTTATAAAGCTAAATGAGAAGGGGGTTCTATTTGAAAATGAGATAATGAAAAAGGAGAATGAGAAAGAAGTA